CTCCTAGGATCACTAGTTCCTAGTCACAGCAAGCCACAGTGGCTACAACAACAGGACAACCAGCAGTAACCAGGTCCCAAGCAAAGCATCTCCTTTGCTTCAGTAATATCCACGCATACAACAAGAACAAGAAAACTGATCAGTGGCTTAACAGATCCTCTTGGCAGTATTGCACTGAGTTGTTGTATCCAAATAGGAAAGGAGATAAGACTATCCCTACTCCAACAGCAATCCTCATTCTTATCGGAAGCAAAGATGATCATCATTTGGTAGTACCCCCACTAACAGAGAAATCCTCTCCTACACCATCTTACCTCACCCCTACTGCAGCATCATCCAGCAGAAGCATAGTAGCCTCCACACCGCACACATCTCCACTCCAGTTGCCCACCAAACCCTTGCCAAGTGAATCAACGAGCACTAGTCCCACAGTTAGACCCAGTTTTCTTTCAGGGATATTCAATTCTCCTGAACCAAGCAATTCACCAATCCCAGTAGGAGAGCACTGTCCAACCCCTGTTCAAACAGAGCCCAAACGAGAACCACCCAGATCTCCAGCCAATCCTAACCCAGAAGAGGAGCCAGCCAACAGACACCCAAATAATCCAGAAGACAGTGATCCAGAACCTAGCGACCAAGAAGAAGGAGACATGTCTGACAATAACAGTGGAGCAGTAAACAAACCCAACCAGTTCAAAGGTGACAAGAGAAAGAGCAAGGAATTCCTGGACAAATTATACCTGTACTTTGCCAGAAATCCCAAGAAGATTCAGACTGACAAAGACAAAGTTCAGTGTGCCCTGTCTCATATCAAAGGACAAGCCCAATTCTTCAACCACATGATCATCACTGATGCAGAAGAACCCATACCTGACTCTGATGATGTGCCACCCAAAGGATTGCCTAGCTGGGCTAAATTCAGGAAATCCTTCATCCAAACCTTCGGAGTAGAAGACGATATGATACCCAGGCAGTGTTAAATGAAATCAGCAAATGTACCTGGATGAAATGTGGAGGGAATGGTCTTCAATTTGTCACTACTCTTCAACCTCTCCTACAGGCCAGTGGACTAAACAAATTAGGGAAAATCCAAGAACTCCAATGTCTCATTCCTCCTGCCCTCCTAATCAAGATCGTTGCCCAACCTCCATTACCAACCACAGCTATAGGATATTTTGACAGCATCCAATCCATCTGTCAATCAATGATTGATATCTTTGGTGATAAACCCTTATTTATGCCTTCATCTGGTTGTTCTTTTGGTTGCAACAAATTTGTACATCACAACTGTGCGATTACCAGGGAAGGATCTTCAAAGGAAGCATCATCTAATGATGAAAAGATCAGACATCTGTCAGATAAAGATCACAGAGAACATATGGAGAAGAAGTTGTGTTTCAGATGTCACAAACCCAGACATCAGAGTCATCAATGCCCAAACAATCACATCAGGGCAATTGAATCTCACAACACATCCACTCAGGATAAGGATGAAACCAAGGACTCCTCCAATGGGGAAGGGATAGCCAAAGAATACATTCAAGCAATTTCCTCTGAGAAGGATTTTTGAAGTCTTTGACCATCGTGACATCAAGTCAAAGTAATGGCACTAGGGATTATTTATATCAGGTGAGATGAGCTCATAAGTCTATTTATTTGCCCTGCATATTGAGAACCTATGTCAAAACTGTCACAACTGAGGCATTTCTCAACACAGGAGCAATAGAGAATTACATCAACTGTTGAGACCAAGACAAAAGGATGGTCTGCCAGAAGCTCAATAATGTGAGGACAGCTAGAGTC